AGTCAATCATTAAAGACTTAATAAATGATTAATGTATAATTCAAATTGCATAAATGCATAAATTGTGTCAAACATAAGTCTAGATGCCATACATCAAATTTTGGTTTATTTTCATTCCCATTGCCCAATTTGTGTCCAAGTTGGCAATTTTAATGCAATAACATAATCAAATTTGAATTTTATTGGACTCTAACAAATAACTTTAACAACAAATTTGTAATAAACAAGGAATATTGAATCAGGAGTTTTGTAAGATTGCTTTGGTTTAAGTGTCTAATATTATAGTGTTTTGCAAATTAGTTATGTAAATTAGAGTTAAAGATGTCAAATTTCTCCAATAAATGTGATGGCTAAGCTTAGATGAAAAACCATTTACTGTTGTAATACCTAGGCTATCTAGACAATATGAAAAGATCCTAATAGTACTTAGATGCTCGAGGTGTATTCTAGACCAATTTTATGGCATGCTTGTTGATGAAATTGAAAACTTTAAAGAGTTGCTTATGGTCTTAACAAACAATTGACAATTATAGTACGTATGTCATAATGGAGAAAATGGTGTAACCTTTTAAGAATGTTTACTCTCTATCCATATCACTTGCTTAAGCTAAAAGGGACTATATACCAAGCACACAACAATAATGCATAGTTATCAGTAGGTAAGATATTCACAATAACTAAAGTTGTCATACTTTGCCTTTTCAAGGTTCCTTATAACTCATTTTGATGAGCTTCTTGTCCTTTAATAGTGCGCTTTTACAACCTAATAAACGGTGATAGATATCGTCCTTAAACTTCTCATGCATCAACTTTAATTATTTCTGTTTCTTTGCCAAAATAAAAGATAAGAGGGAAAAGTTATCAATTTAAACTCCTAAGAAGTTAGTAATAAAGATAGATGCTAGGAATTTGGAACATTATTTTGCTTTCTATTAGAAGCATTCATTGTTTCAACTCTTAAAGCTTCTCAAAATGAGTTAGGTTCTGACTTTATAAATGCATGGTTTCTTTCATTTGAATAAATCAAACTTTGCTAAACAAGTGCTAAAATGACCACCACCCCATTTGAAGGTGAATCCACCTAAGATAAAATTAGCTTTAATGAAACAATGTCACCCTTAAGGTTTAGTGCCAAGGTATGGATTACTAAAACGTACACTACAAATATCAACTAATGGAAAATGGTTACCTTGGAGCCTTGTTTCCAAGTGTTTCCTCTTTGACTTATAGAGACTAGTTAGCTTCCCTCTAAAAAATTAGGAAGAGCATATCCAATTAATCAATATTTGTATAGCGAAACTGTCACTCTAATATACATATACGTTAGATTCAATTTGGAGCACAGTATTCTACAACTTCAATTTTATCTCCTCATAAATAGAGGATTTTCTAGTCACTAAATCCATTTTCCATTTGAAGTTTTCTAAAACTAAAGCAAACAGTGTTACAACCTTGAAAAATGTCAAGTGAAACAAAACTCAATAAAAAAAAATCAATAGCAAAAAAATAGCATCAGTGGGATTTTTTCAAATCCTCTAAAAGAAACCTTACCAATTCATTGTGTTGATTTTGTCCAGACGGTTCCTCAAACCAATCATTTTCTCCAACCCCTAACTAGTTTGCATAAAAATACAAAATAAACAATTCAAGAAAAAAGACATATGATTTGTGGATGTGAAGAGTAACAGATACACAAATTTTAGAAAAGCTATGCCTTTTGGAGAGGGCAACATAGGATTGAGTCTTCTTGCTTTAGCACTTTCATTGTAGTCTAACATTTTGTCGAAATGACACATGAATTTTGGTTTCTCAACCTGAAAAAATTCTAGTGAGGTCACTTTTCTTCTGCAACCTGCATAAAACCAATGAATAAAGGAAATATAGAGCATTCTACTTAGAAGGGAAATTTTGAAAAGAAGACAAATAACTATTCTAAAGCCTAAGACGATTAGAACATACAAAATTCTGCTTGTTCTCAACTTAAGAAATTCAATAAGGTTATATATCACTTAACAATTTATAGTTTCAGAATCTAGAAATTAAATAGTAAGCCAACAAAACCCTAATATTATTCCACTTTGTAGAAAAACTTCTCTATACTTAATGACAACTTTGAAGCCCAAGGTGAAAACTTTGCAAAACAAAACTTTGTTTCCTAATACTCAAGGCGAAAATATCATGCTTAAGAGTTTTAAAGCCCCAAAGAGCCATAACTTTTTCCTCTAAAATCAATAACAAAAGCTAAAAACAAGAACAAAAGGAGTTGCTTTTACTTGGAGAAGATTTTACTAAGACCCATGTGAAGCTCATGGACATTCTTCTACATCATCCATGGATCTCATAAACAACAAGATAAGGAAGGTGCCCTAGGATTGCTTTTTGAACCAAGGGCCCACAGCATTTGCAGGAAACCCTAGCCTTTGTGGATTTCCATTGGAGGTTGAATGCATAAAAACTCAAAACCCAAGAATAGCTATAAAAACTAGAAAACCACAAAACCCAAGAGGCCTAGACCCTAGCTTTTCCAACATGGGTGAAAACAAAATGAAGGTGAAAAAAAGGTCAGTAGCAATTCTATTAATTGTTGGTGTAACGCTAGCAATCAACATTATTTCAATCTTGGTGTAGCTGTTTTAGAGATATGGAGGTTAAGGAAGGACAATCGACAAGATTTTATCAAATTGGGATGATTAAGTGTTGGACTTTGTAGAATTTGGAGGGATCAATTAGGTTCTAAGTGATAGTCACAGACAAGGAATTACAAAGGGGCAAATGGATGTCGAATGATAGCCCAAGGAAGGAGAAAGTCTGATGTATCTTCAGGATATCATGTCAAGAGTATCCCAGGCCAATCAAAAAGCATCACATTGACTTTTTTTTTTTTTTTACACCTCATCAATCACTCAATGGAGAGGAAAACAAAAAGAAAAAAGAAAAAAGAAGGGGGTTGATGTGGTGTTTTTTTATTGGCCTGAGATGCCGCTAACATAGTACTATCCAAAGATACAGCAAACTTTCTCTCAAATAAATGAGGGATAAGTCTTTAATATCTTAGAAATTCTATTAAATCATATTTTATTTATTAAACCAAACGTGTGCAACCAAGGGTGTTGGTTAACAATGTAAACAAATCATTTCCTATTATAAAAATAAGTTAAAATTGATAAATTTTTGATGGGGAGTTAGGAATAGTTATCTTAATGTCTAATTTTCATTTTAGATTAACAAGTAATCAAGAAATATCTATTCCCTAAGAATGGAAGGTATAAATATTTCATATTCATTCAATAGTTTAATGATAAATCATCAACATTAAGGTTTAGATTTTGTTTGTCAATACTTCTCATAGACTTTTTTCACACAATACTTTATCTAAAAATATAAATTTATTATTTTTAATTAATTTTAATTATTGTTATATATTTTTATTAATTTTAACTAATATTTTATATATTTTGAGATAATAAAAGACAAAAAGAAATCTATAATTACAGAACATCACATCATAACACAATACTGACAAACAAAGATTTAGCTATTCCTAATTTTTTAAGGAAATTTTTCAAATTTAACTAGGTTCTTTGTTGACAAAAAGAAAAAAGAAAAAAGTCAATACCAAAGACTAAATATGACTTCTTCTTTTTTGCAAATTAGAAATGGCATAGATAAAATAGAGTTTTATAGAATCACAAATGTTTTAGCCCTATCTTGGGCAAAATTAGCCAAACAAAAATTAGAAATAATATGCTTCAATTAGACCTACTCATCTCGATGAGGCTTCAACATTATGTTCCAATTAACAACTACGCTGGGCATTTTTACGGCTAATATGGCCAATTTTAGAACATAAAAGCTAGACTTTGGGGATGGAGTCCCTCTCTAGGCATTGCAGCACTACCGCCACTTGTCATGGCAGTGGGAGGTAATAGCTTAATTGGGCAGGAAAGAAAGAATAATCATAAACTAATTATTAATATAGAGTTAGAAAGTAAAGGTAAAATAAATAGATAAATAAATATAATGACACCAATAATTTATTGATCTAAATTTAGGAGTTTAATTCTTTTTAAATAAGATTTTAATGGTGAATTTTGTAAATGGAGAAATGTGTTAAAAGAGTTTCTTTTTTTATAGGTTCGACCTACTCAACTCAAAATTAATTGATACCCAATTTAGCTTCTAAATAGTAAAGGATTAGTACTAAAAAAATAAAATGATAAAATACGTAAGAGTAAGTTAAAAGGCACCATCATAAGAAAATTTAAAGAAACATGGAGTATAAATAAACAAAAAAGTACCAAAAGAATAATACTAATAAGTTGAATATTTTATAATTTGATTTAAAGCCTTTCCATATAGGCATTTCAAAGAAAGACAAGACAAATTAGGATACAAAAGAGACATAATATTAATATTTTATAAATGTAAAGATAAAATAATATAACAAAAATTTGATAAACTACTTTATCAAATTTTTTTCTTAAATTTAATTAATATAGAAGTAAAATATTTATTTATAATAAATTACTATGCATTTAGTGACAATAATAAATTACTATGTATTTGAAATAATTTTTGTATTTATTAATTAAAAATTAATTTTAATTATAAATTAATATTATTATATTTAATAATTATTATATGGTACTATATGTGCTCAAATATAGTCTATAATATAGGAAGGTAAAATAATTACAACAAAAAATAAACTAATCGTATTATTTTGCCCTCAAACTTAAATCTCACTCTTTTTTTATTAAATCCTTAATATTCAAAAATCATATTAAATTTTTTATTAAACCTATAATATTCAAAAGTTATATTAAATTTTGATTAATTTTGAGTTAAGTTAAATCCAACTTATAATAACGAAAGTTCTTTAAAAAAAAATCAAATTCATTCCACTTGAATCAACTAATTGTTAATTAAATCTCACTTTTTAACAGGTCGTCGAATGTGCCATAATGCGAAACTTCCTAGAAATCACAAACATACATGAAGAATGAGCACTTGATTTATGTCGATATAAAATCAATTCTTTACGAGTAGAAAAGGATCTAACCGTGTTGTTCTGAACATCCATGGCAATTTTCAAGGCAGTACAAATTTATGGGTAGCTTCCGTATCACTTAAAGCAAACAAAACTGCCAGGTCGAGTCCTTTCCCTTTGCCCAAAAACCCTATACAAACTTCAAGGAACGCTAATTTTAACACACAGAATACATTCTAGATAATCATAGACTGAACAACCTATTTGATCTACCTTCCATACTTCGAAAAAAATTCCAATAGTAGACTTGCTAAAACTTTACCAGCATCGTAGAATGGTCCAATGTCTTAATAGCGACTGTGTCCAGTAATTCCAACTTTGTGACATAAGATTTGATGACCTAATAAACCACAATGTTGCTCACTGTACAAATGTTAGCCTCCTGAACCAGCACCTTCTGAGGCAGCAGTATCACTTGAAGCAGCAGAAGCTATTTCTGCTGATACCACACTTACACTAGTATCACCCTGCTTGAGCACCATCTGGTTGGGATCTTGATCCGGGAAAACCTCAGATTGCAGAGATGGAGCAATATTATTTACATGTAGCCATGTCAGTTCCCACAAGCTATCTCCACCTAGGGCACTCCTTTGTACGAGTACTCCCTTGGTTTTCATCACAACCAAAGTGTTCTTTAGGAGCTCAAGCACTATTTCCTGAAGCTTCTCACTTTTCTTTCCTCTCACTTTTACCTTCATATATTTTTCCATTCTGCTGAGCACACCAAGCCACATTTTGCAGAATGTTGATAGCTGGGAAAGCTCATGGACTAACTGCAAAAATACTTTTGAAAGAAGCTTCATGGCAATAATAAGTGTGCCTTCCATGTTTCGGTAGTCTTTTTGAGATTGTCCAAGAGCAATTTCAAGCAAGTCATCAAGCATTGTGAAGATTACAACATCAAAACACTGTAACCAAATGCCATGGGAAAGCTGGATCCCATTGCCTCCCGTCAAGCATTTCTGCAATGACTGAAGAGCATGGTTTCTGACCTCTTCTCTCTGTTCCAAGCAGACTTTTCTTAATCCTTGCACAAGCCTTAACCACATGTCTCCTATATCCTGAAGCATTTTTGAAGCATCATCCTCCTCCATTTCTTCCTTAGCCTCATTTGCCCACCTTGTCAGACAATCAACAGAACCAGCCATAAGATCCAGAGCACGCACAGACCGCTCTGCCTGGCCAACACGAGCCTCAGCAAACTGCCTTGCAGCATCCACACATAGAACATAGTTGGCTGGCAGCAAATGTGCTCCCTCAGACATAATGAACGACAGTGCATCAAATCCTGCTTCAGAAGCTTCAGGATGCCGAGCTGTGATGGATAGTAAAGATGTAATTGTGCGCCACCCCATCTGGGATCTGATATGATTAGCATTAGCTTTCACCAGGCGACTAACTTCTTGCGTAATTTGCTCACAGTATGCATCAGCTACACGGGCATCAAGCTTCAAGACAAGTTGTAGTGACCTCAAAAGTTCATCAGCCAGGTTTTCTTTGTAAGGAAGCAGCCGCTGGCAGATTCGAAGAAGTCCAAAAACAGCCTTCTCTACCAAGGCACAAGGCATCACAGTTGATTGAACAATATTAGCTATGTGCTCATAAACACCCTGCCACAGAAGGACAATTCTATCTCGGTTGTTTAGGGTAATCGCAATGAGCAACTCCAGACAGAAAACTGCAGTATCTTCATCCTCTGGAGAGCTACTCCCTTTCTGGGGTCGCCCTGCAGCCCAAATAAGTGCCCGAGCCAGCTGCAACAATGATTCAGCTTGTAAAAACTTACTCTCAGTAAATATGCTGTCAATATGGCAATTTTGAATGGTCTGAAGTGTGCGTTGATGGGCAGCAAGTTGTTGTTCAGTAGGTTGCAATCTTGGCTCCTCTGTGTCCAGAGATAAGAGCTGACTAAACCGGCCCATTAACCCAGAGGACCTCCTTGGAGTTCCCATTGATTGTATGTGAGCTGAAGACAAAGAATTTGCAACGGGTTTTCCATGACCAGGGTCAGCAGCGACCTCTGATTCATCAGCTGCATCACTGGCCACACGAGCTGGTAGAAGTCCAAGCTTGTGTAATCTTAAGATGCAATCTAATATATTTCTCCAACCTGTGCGAATGTAATCACCATACCTATTTGCAATGGTAAAAACAGTCACCGTTGCCATTCTGGCTTTGGTGTCATCACCAAAAACTAACACAGGTTCCTCGACTGATGATGCATTTAAAAGAGTTGTGAACTTGCAAAGAGACACAACTAGGTCATCTAGGACATCTTCAAGATGATGGCATGCTGAAATTTTTGCAACAGCCAAGAATCCATCAATACATGTCTGGTAAACATCTTCATGTTCTGCATGATCAAATACAACAGAGATAGCAGCAATTGTTGGACCTGACATTGTAGCAAACATATCATGGTCAAGGTGAGCTCTGGAATTGGCTACAATAAATGGTGCTGTTTTCTTGGACTTGTGCATTAGATCAATCCAACGGCTTGGAGTCATCTCAGGGAACCCAAAGCCTTGTTCAGGTGTTGTGCGGATCTCATTCTTGCATATTGAATGGTACAGCTCTGACAGAAATTCTTGTGGTAGATCATTGCCTCCATTAATATGCCTATTATTCCGGATGAAGTCTCCTTCCGTCATCTTTTTCTTCACCTGTACATTGTGCTGATCTGTGTTGAGCATTATAAGTGAATAGGACAACAAGAGAGCAGCATCCTTATTTGCTAGAATCTGTGGCGATTGCTCATAGTACCTCTCAGAGAAAGCCTCAAGTACTCTTTGTATCTTTTGTGACTCTCCAGGCAAGCGAAATGTTTCCAAGAATAATCGCAGAGCAGTATCCAGATTCATCTCTTGGAAATCAAAAGTTCCAGCAAATTCATGAAGAACCTGAACACAGAATTCATCATGATTTCCCAGGAAATCCCCAACAAGATTCTTATCTAATCCAGCAGTATACCTGAAAAAGCATGCAACACTTTGAGGGTCAAGTTTATCTGGCAAAAGATGTGTGCCTTGGAGAAACTCCAATCCTTTCTTGGGGTCACGATTAAAGTGATCAGCTCCAATCATCAACCTTCTCTTGATGTACTTCCTCCGGCGGACAAATGGAACCCAATGACAAGGATCACTGTAGTTATCACACTTCACCATCCAGAATGGTGTATACTCCTCAAGACTTACTGGAACCAGCTCTGAACTAACTGATCCATTGCCAATTCTCTCGGCCATACCTTGGATAACAGCAATCAGTCCATCCAAAGCAAGAATGTGCATCGCAGACAGAGGACAGTTCACTGGGAATGCACTCTTTGACAACAAATTAGCAAGGTCTTCAAATACATTACTGCAAGTTATATCACAGTCTAAATTAGCATACATTTCCACCATGAAGGTTTTCTGCCTGCAGAAGTCAACAAGAGCTTCCATGGCCACCTCCTGCTGCTGGTATGAGGCCCCATATCTGCCTTGTGCAAGCCTCAAAATGACACAGGAGAAAAAAGCCTCTAGCTGTAATTTAAGCTCTGTCCGCAAATGGTGATACAGATTGAGAACAATGCTACACACCATTGAAAGAATAAGTGGACTCATTGACAAGCCAAGTTGCATCAGATTATGAAACAATTCATCCTGAATCAAATTCAACAATCTTGGATGATCACGAAAGGAAGAGCCACCTAACTCAATTGCAGAATTAATTAGGCCCAAGCCAAAAAGAGGCACATCTTCATCAAATGCTATAGTATTTGATCGAAGACCCATCCCCACATGCTCAACAGCATTTAACAAGGAACACAGGAAATGAAATATCTCCACCATGGATGGAACCCCATATGGCTCTGTCATGAGATGCTCAACAGCCTCCTTTCCATTACCAGCCCCTATTATACTTTCTTCCATTACAGTTGCTACAGTACCTGCAGAAGCATTAGAAGCAAAATTTGTTGAGGATGCTTGATCATCATACTCATAATTACCATTTCCATTCTCTGTGTGTTTACCCACGAATGTGTAATCACGATCTACCCCACCAATCTGCAAAAGAGAACTTGAATACCTTAATTTTTTGTTTTATTCTGGATTGTATTAATAACTAAATCACCTCATGGAAAGGAAAGGATAAATAAAAAAGAAATCCATTAGGCCTTACCCCAGGAAACACATTATGTGCTATTTAATCATCCAGACTCCAAAGGTTTTTCTTTCCTATTATTCTTTCCTTTAAAGGCCAAATATTTCCTTCAAGAACGTTTAATTTAACTAACCTTGTTGGTATTCATATATATATATATATATATATATATATAAAGGAAAAGAAACTTGTAGGTAAAGCCTCATCAGGAATGCCTTACAAAAAAGCCTCATCAAGAAAAACCAAAGGCCTTTGTTCAAATTCACCATAACTCTTTTCCAGTATGAAACTATAAATCTGAAACTACAAATTATATTAACGTCAAATATCATCATAATTCAGACTAAAGTAAGTCAGATATATGCCGGGCAATGCTACTATATTGTCATTGTCTATAATCTAGGGATATCATCATAACCACTATTATTATTAAATCTATGTTAATGATTGACTACATTGACGAGGAGATAAAGGAATCTAGAAACCAATTCAATTGAGACATTTTTTCTTTCCTGATTCCGAGAACAAGTAGAAAATTAATTCAAAAAGAGTTTTCTTTCCAAACATCTTGATGTGCTCAGTGGCTGCGCCTGGACATAGGCTACTATTGGAACTACCATCAATTATTAAAAGCATCACAATAAATAATAAATGAATAATTACACAGAAAGTTGAGGCAAGCAATATTCTTAAATTTCTTATTTGATGATGTTTCCAGATTATTTTCCTATCTTCTATCCAGCTATTATTAAGAAAAGAAGAGAAGATAGATGAAATATCCAAACCAAAAAGAAAAGAGAGAAAGGCATAGAAGGAGAGAAAATTAGCATACAATTACCTCTTGTGTAACGGTATTGGTTCTATTAACCAATGCACATTCTGTGTTGTCAACATTTGGAAGGTGTGAGAAAATACACCTTACAAGTTCATGCATAGTGTGTCGAGCTATCCGCTGTAACAACTCCCCTTTTGTTCCTGCTTGGTGAACTATACGGAAGCAAGTGTTCACTATTGTGCAAACATGTTGATTACTCAACATAACTGATGCTTTACTTTTCATACAAGCCAAAAGAACCTGAAGTATCTTCATAAGCACCACTTCTTCAGATGCAGGATCAGTGACCTCAAATCGGCAGCTAGTCACAGCATCAACTACCAAATGCATGGCGTCCTCAACGTTAACAGTATTTTGATCAATCACATCAAGGGTTAAAATCTTATATACAGATGACAAAGCAACACCAGTAATTGGTGCACCAGTTTCAGCTGATAGAATCACATCCAGGAAAGGCTGGATATACAAAGCAGGGTTGATAGTGTGCCACTGGTGTTGCCACAAAAAGATTTGCCTCCGCAGTGCCTTCAAAGACTGAATCAAGGAGTGTTCTAGTTGATCATCACCAGAAATGTAACGGCCTCCCCATCTTACATTTCTCCGCATGACAGCTAATACAGCACCTATTTCTGAATTTATCATGCAAGCTAAAGTAGTTTTGTTAGAATTAACAGCATCACAATCCTCAGGTTCTTCTTCAATAGCCTTAATTCCAGATTGCAGCTTTAGACGCCCCATGGTTGTTGAATATTCTTTATCTAGAAGATAAGCTACATACAAATTTTCCAGCATCTAGGTGATAAGGCAGAGGATCATGGCTGGAGCATAACTGTAATAATTGAAAAAGACAAAACAAAGAGGAACATGCTTATTAACCATGTTATGTCATGCACTGAAAGAGCCAACTAGATCTCAACAAGAAGCTATGTGGATAACATGTGGAGAGCAGTTAAAGATGGTGCAAGAGTTCTGCTCCAAGATGTAGTTGCACATGTTAACTTGTAAAAACATAACACTTGCATCTATGAATGTAAGTACATACATATGTGTGTGGGTGTAACACTTAGCCAAAAAAAAAAAAAAAACAACCTATAAAGTATAATCCAGCGTCAACACAACAATTTAACACTTTATCCTGATATCACTAACACATTGAAGTCACAAGTATTGCAACTTCATTGCCACAGCCCATGATTATGTTATTGCATCCCTCTAACCAACTCTTCCACCAATGCAAAAGCCATGACTTCCCCAACATAAACTCAAGTAAAATGTCACAAACGAATTCAAGATTGTAGTCTATATTTGTATGGTGGGAAGTTACAGGGCAACCTAAAGCATCCACAATAAATTTCAGGAAAAACATCAAAAGGGGGCAAACAAATTTATAAATGCAGAGATAGACAAAATAAGAAGTTTAAGCGGTAATGATAAAATCAACTTCACTTCATATAAGAACAATTATATGCAGCAACAAGCAATCATAATCATCAAAAGAAAATAAGTGTAATGCCACTTGAGTCTCTTAGTGTCCTACGGTTATTGTCCCATCAAAAATATTATAATCTAGCTGCATCAAACCCGAACAACCACCATAAAAAATGCCATAATCTAGCTGTATAAATTAAAAGCCGAACAATAAATATCAAACAGGACATAGGAAAACCAAAATATCACTGTAAAGTAAGTTTTTAAGTTGTTGCAGCTCAAACTAGAATTCAGTTAAAGTAACTTTACAGGCATATCACCTCAAAAGATATAATAATAGAGTTTGCCACCTCAATTCTGGAGGATCTTGAAACTAAATTTTCCCTTATGAAAACCCCAAGAAAAATATTTGAATCATTTCGTCCAATTATTCTACTCAAACAATAGATAAAGCCAACCGTGAACTATTATCATCATCATTACCATGAGATCTAGGCATCTTGGCTCAATAAAAGTAGTTCACATATTCCCTAAAATATATATATATATATATATATATATAAAAGGAAGATGACGCATCAGATCACTGCTTACTCCACTAAGAAACTGATACAGATCTGATCCTCCCTTTCGTTGGCAACATAAGTAGAACATCTAGAATTTCGAATGCAGTTAGTCCATGGATTAGAACTTGGACTAAACTTAACCGTGTGCAGCTTTGGAGTCCAGAATTGAGGCCAATTTTCCCTTGGTTAAGAATTACCTACTAGAAAAAGGAAATGAACAACATTCGAAACGTAGCAATCTTTTCTTCTATTTCCTCAACTTTCTAGGGAACAAAACAAGTATTCAATGCCGTAATCCAACAAAGAGGCCCCAGATCACCGAAAACGGAGGACGGAAACTGAATGCATAAATGGTAATAGAAGAAGACGAGATGAGATTAGAGAAAACATACCTTGGCAGATCGAGAGAACGTAGATCCAGCAATCAATTTCTCAGAGATATGTACTCAAATTTGAGCGAGAAAAGTAAAGGGGTTCCTACTCTGACACAGCTGAGAAAATCAAAAGGAGAAGACAATGATGATTTTACGATAAAGTCGATTTGAAATTTATTTTTTTTAATATTTTTTTCGATCAGAGTGGCGAGGAAAATGCTTGTTTCGAAAAATAAAAAATTGAACCGAGAAATTTTTTTTTTTCTTATCTAAACTCGAAAAAGCAGAATTTTTTTTTTTCATTCTAATTTATGTTTATTTAGTGTTCACTTGATATTTTAAAATATTAATTTTTAAGTGCACCGAGGGAAGAAAAAAATTAATTAATTAAATTATAATATTTTAAATATTATAATTAAATTAATTAAAAATTGTTTTTCCTCTTCACTTACTTTTTCTTTTTACTTTTTATTCCATTTAAACTAAATATATTATAACAATAGTCTAACGGCAAAACCCTTCTAAGCCCCCAAACTTACTCCAAAATAGCATTTAAGCTGCTAAACTAAAAATGAAATAGATAAACCCTTCAACTCTACAAATAATGCAAATAAGCCTTTCTTACAAACAAGCCAAACAATAAGATTCACAATGGACCAACTTTGTTTCTTTTTTGCACTTCCACTAATCCACATAAACATATATATGCTGACATGGCATCATCCATATGTAAAGGGATTTTGGGCGGTAAAGATCCCGCCAAAATCCTAAAAAATTTAAATAAAAAAAAAAGAAAAAAAATTAAAGAAATCGAAAGGCCATTAGAAGCTATAGTTTAAAAGTCTACAAAAGAAAGTCTACTTCTACTAGGCATAAAAAGGACCACAAGTGAAAAACAAGCACTAAAGAATCTTGAATCTCAACAATCTTGAGTTTGATTTCATCTTATAGGTAAATACATTTATTGTTATTTGATGTGGAAAACACATGGGGCTTGTGGTGTTTTCCTTCATTTTGTTTTATTATTTACCAATCTACAATAAAGAGATAACAAATTGTAATTTTGGGTTTATTAGGTATATAAAAATCACTAGTTACTTGATTGCCATTAGGGTTCTTGTAAACAAGGTGTGATCTTTAAATTGTGGGAATAGATTCATAGATCAGTTATCACTTAACATACATACTTAGCATTCTTAATTACTCAATTAGTTAATATTATTGTCGAATAATCTATTTTGTTTCTGAAATTTTGAGCAGCAAACCTATTGGTGAAGATGCACCTTTTGCGATATGCATACATTATGATGGTCAATTTGGTGCTCACAAGTCACGTTACATTGGGGGGAAACTTATGATTTACCGGTCTATGATGTGGATAAACTATGTTATTGGGATATTAAGGACAAGGTTACAGAGTTAGGTTTTAGCTCATTCAAGGGATTGTATTACAAAGTACCACATTTGCCTATGGCACATGGGCTGCATCCTCTTTGTGGTGATGTTGCTAAGATTTTAATACAATCGACTATATGTCAGGTTTATGTTGAACATGGTCAACTTAATATTGATGAAGAAGTTGCTATTGCAGTAGGAAAGTTGCTGTTACATCCAGAGGTATTGGGAAGTGAAGCTAACGATGGTGAGTTATTAGTTGGGAATAATAAAGTGACAAATCTAATGGGTGACATGGATAGCACTAATACTTTAAGCCATGGTAGGAAAACAAATGATAAAGGGAAAGAAAAGGCGACAAAGGCATGCCAACAATGGAAAAGTGAGAGGAATGGGTGTTATGGCATCATCAAGCTCAAAAGAAATTATAATTAAATAAACTGTCACTGATTTTGAAGGCTTTCGACTAGTGGACAACTCAGACATTGAATATAGTGATATAAAGTACGGTAGCAATAATACTTATATTGACAATGATAATGTTGGAAGTTACTACAGTGATAGTTCTATAGAATACCTGAATGTGAAGGATAATGCATTGAGAAGGGTGAGTAGTTTCTTGCATTATGATCCTAATTGTGACTATCCACACTAAGGTAGGAATGGCATTTGAGAATGCAGTTCAATTTAAGGAAGCCATTGTCAAATACTCAATAAAAAAGGGATGCAAACTTCATTGGAAAAAGAATGAGCCAAGTAGGCAAAGAATTGCATGTGATATTAAACATGGGTGTTCTTGGAAAATTTATGCAAGCTTTGATGATTCTGACGATACTTTCAAGGTGAAGACATATTATGGAACTCATTCATGCTTCAAAACAAATAGGAACAAATGGTGACTAAGCCATTCTTGGTTGATGCCTTGCAGACAATAGTTACCAACTCCCCTGAAATAAGCAGTAGGCAACTTGTTGACCATGTCAAGGTAGAATTGAATGTTGATGTTTCAGAATATAAATGTCAGAGGGTTAAAAGGATAATTAAGAATGAGCTAGAGGGTACTTACATTATGCAATACAAGTATCTTAGAGGTTATGGGGAGCATATGCTAGCAACCAATGTCGGCTCAAGTTGTATCATTGGAATAGAGGATTCTACTGCAGCAACACCCTACCAGTTTAAAATGATGTACTTTTGCTTTGATGGATGCAAGAAGGGTTGGAAAGTTGGTTCTGGGTGCATTAGTGGTCTAGATGGCAATATCTTGAAAGGGGTTTGCCAAGACATTTTGTTGTTAGCTATTGGGAGAGATGGGAATAATCAAATGTTTCTAGTGGCACGGGCGATTGTAGATACTGAAGATAAGGACAATTGGAAATGGTTCATGGAATTGTTGAATATTGACCTTGAGTGTGGAGATGGAACAGAAATGACTTTTATAAGTAATATGCATAAGGTAAAAATAAATTTATTCTTTTTTAACTTTTTTTTTTGTTTTGTTTTTATATGCTAGCTTCCTTTTTGACTTGCTATGTCACTATCATGCATTTAATTTTACATGTTTTTCCTTTAGTTATTTCAATTAGTGCCTTTCACTTGTACAAATTATTATAAACGTGCATCTTTTTGTTTTATCCTATGTGGGTGTTAATGACTTTAATTTATACATTAATTTATTCCTTGTTAAACTTATATTTGTTTTAGATTACATTATTTTATTTTATTTTTCTGTTAATGCCTTTGTCTATGGGACATGTAATGCCTTTATTTTTATTTTATTTGTAGGGCATTTATCTATAAGGGATGAGGTGTTTTCAAGGGCAAAGCATAGGTACTATGCTAGGCATATATATGCTAATTGGGCAAAGGATTATAGGGGAGAAGAATACAAAAAGAAATCCAAGATCATTGCAAGATCTAGTTGGCCAACAGAATTTGATCATAATATGAATGAGCTTAAGAAATTAAATGAGTAGGCCTAGAGAGATTTGCAACGGATACCTCCTAAGTATTGGTGTAGGGCATTTTTCACTGAAGATGCTAATTATGATGTTATAGACAACAACATGTGTGAGTCCTTTAATTTTTCGATTATGGATGCAAGGTATAAGGCTATTATTAATTTAGCTGATACTTTGAAGGGGCAAGCCATGGAAAGGATTACTAACAAGAAAGAATTGATGAAAGGTTGGAATGGAGACATTGCCCTAAGGGCTAAGGATAAGTTAGAAGAAAATAAGAATGAGCCATCGCAATGCAAGTTGCTTTAGGATGGAACAATTGCTTTTGAAGTCAAACATAGAAATGATAAACATGCTGTTGATCTTCAAAGAAGGACATGCACTTGTAGAGCTTGGCAAATGAATGGAATTCCATGCCCACATGCCATATGTTGCATGTATCATATAAATTTAGTTATTGAGGACTATGTAGTTCATCGGTACAGAAGGGAAAAGTATGCGTTGTCGTATGGATTTCCTTTCAAGTCAATGTGTGGTGACAAGTGTAACACCCCATAGACTTTAATGAATAGATTAAAAATGGGTCCTTTATTTTAAAGTTTTGGGATTAAATTGATTAGATTTAGAGTTTGGGAGTTGAAAATGAAATTTAGTGAAAGTTGAAGGATGTTTAATTCTATTATCCCACTTTTTGTGCAATGTGGCACAATATTTACCAAGTAAAGCCATTTTTCTTTGGCTTGAAATAGATGTCTCTCGAATCCATCTTTTTTATTTCTGCGTCGTTCCTTCCCAGCTAGTCTTTTGCGCCTTTTCTTCTTCTTCCAACCAAGTGATGAAGCACTTTCTAGTGAAGTTCTTAGCCATTTCTGCTGCTTGCCTCAATTTGGTGCTTTGATTTCCAAGTAAGTATAAGTTTTAAGTTATGAATTTGGGATTAAAGTTTTTTGGGTAAGTATGAGTTTTGATTATAAATTTGAGGTAGAGTTTCTTTTGGTAGATTATAGATTTATTTCAATAAACTAAAAATTAGTTAAATTAGTGAAATTTGACCCCAAAGCTTTAGTTTAATAGATATTTGGATATTAAGATTTTGTTAAGAACATGTCAATTTTTGGGGCTTATATAGGAAAGAACAGTGAATTATTCCTTTTTTTTATGTTTGATTTAGTGTGAATTTTATGGATTAAAGGACCTTGCTAGAACTATTTTACGGGTTATTGTTCATGGGTTACTGTTTATGAGATATTTTTCACGAATTACTGTTTATAAATATTGTTCTCGAATACTGTTCACGCACTAATTGCCATTCATGCAATGTACTTCAATTTCTTTCAATATGAACTTCTATGGACTATGTGAGTTGTGTAGGTGAATATTAGTATGAACTTGAATTGTCCATGCAACTGATTAGTGAGAACATTAAATGGGATAATATTCTAATATTATTTTGGACATGTTCTAAACTTGTTTGACATGTGTACGTGCTTGTGGCTATGGAGTAAGTGGACCTAAGCGTAAAGCTTGGGGCATTTAGTGGATCTTTCGGGGTATTTAGTGGACATCTGCGCAATAGGGTTAATACTGTGATTAGCTTCAGTACAGTGTTGCTAACACACATTAGTGAACTCCATAGCATTATGTGATTTTCAGTTTTTATGCATTGTGCTTGTGATATCGTATTTGTGAGCGTATGATTTTCTTATATGAATTTAATTTAAATGTCATTGATTATCCCTTGACATATGTGATTATGATTTGAGATATTAAGTTATTATTTAAACACCGTGAATTATAAGATTATGAGATTTGGTTCTGTTGGATCTCATGCTCCTTGTGTGTATAGGTTTAGGG